TTATTATTATTATTATTATTATTATTATTATTATTATTATTATTATTATTTATTCATTTTATATCTCAATTGAAGCACCTTCCTCAACTGCACCCAGTTCCACCCTCTCTCCCTCTTTTCCCCTATCCCCTTCCACTGAAAGGGGGAGTTATCTTCCTCTGCCATCTGCCCATAGCTTATCAAGTCTCATCAATACTGAATCCTCTTCCTCTGTAGCCTGGTAAAGCTGAATCATCAGGGGCAAGTGATCAAAGAGCAGGCAACCGAGTTAATGAAAGAGGCACCCCCTGCTCCCCTTACTTGGGTACCCACATGGAGACTGACCTACCAATCAGCTACATCTTGCGTGGTCCTTGGTTGGTGCATCAGTCTCTGCAGGACCCCCTGGGCTCAGATTTTTTAGCTTTGTTGGTCTCCTTATGGGCCTCCTGTCCCCTCCGTGTCCTTCTGTCCCTCCTCCCTTCTTCCATAAGACTCTCTGTGCTCTGCCTAAAGTTTGGCTGTGAATCTTGGCATCTACTTTGATCCCCTATTGCATAGAGCCTTTCAGAGGACCCTTTGTAATAGGCTCCCATTCTCTTCCTTCTCTCCCACCACTTCTGGTGTCTATCCTGCTGGCAAATGGATGGAACTAGAAAAGATCATCCTGAGTGAGGTAAGCCAGAAACAGAAAGACACACATGGTATATATTCACTTGTAAGTGAATATTAGCCATATAATATAGGATAGCCATACTAAAATCTACAGAGCTAAAGAAGCTAATCAACAAGGAGGACCCTAGGGAGGATGTTTAAATCTCATTCACAAAGCAATTCTTAAAAATTCCTAAGTGGTCAAGTTAGCCATAGCTCTGAGCCTATTTCTCCATACCAAGTTAATTTTTATTTTTATTATTATTACTTTCATCTCCTGACAGAAGAAAAAACTTAAAGGCAATAATTATTTTATGTGACTTACAGTTTTAGACCATCTTCTCAGGAAGAGTGGGTCAAAGCAGAGCTGGTCATGTCATGATGTCAAGGAA